TAGCTGCATTATGATATTTTGATGTTATAATTTCTTTAGAAGGTAATGAAACTTCACACGCACTTTCTTCTCTTCTAATTACCATCAGTAGTTGCATTTCCTATATTACTTGATGCTGTTGAATACTTTTGAAACAAGTAGTCGTCCATATTCTTAACCTATTTTGTTCATTCGACTGAAGTTATGCTTTGTTCACATTCTGAAGTTGACTACTCCAAGAAAGTACAAGAAATCCTATTGAGTTTTAGAAAATTATGTCCCAGGAATTTCTGTCCTTCTCAGGAATGTTTTTTTTTCCCCTGGTTGAGGGGGTGGTGTTGAGGGAGAAATTTCATTTTGGTAACTTCAGGTCTTTGCATTAACTCGTGCTTTGCCACTGTTCAGATAGAAGTGGGTTATTTTTGGATATAGTCAAACAGTTCAAAGCTAGTCAGTCACTTTCAGTCTAAACTTTTCCTATAACATTACGTTGAGCTGTTCTTGTTTTTCAAGATTTGGACTGGCTACTGAAATTTTCAGGTTCAAGGTTTATGCCTCAAGATCTTTCATGCTTTTTTAAAAACCCAGAGTACTGTGGATCAAAAATTTTTAAGACGTTAATGTTAAAAGGAGCTCTGAGCCTTCTAGGAAGGGGAAAAGGGAAGATAACCTTTAAAATTGCTTGAAAAACCAGAAAATAACTCTTCTTTTTTTCAGAAACTCCTCTTCAAATTGCTTTATTTTTTTATTTTATTCAGATTTGCCAAATTCTAATTTGAGCTTTTCCATACATAGTATTGTATGTTCAGTGTTAGATTTTGGGCTAGTTCAAAGTCATATTTATATAATGACTGTCGTAAAAGATTAAGGAGTTCTACTTTTACTTGTAAAAGGCAGTGTTCTCCAAAGTTTGTGAGAAGAGTAATGAAGTCATTAATCACTAATGATTTCACTGGGAGGCTATTTTTTTTTTTAAACTTAGGAACATTAGAAGCGTTTTTTAAATGAAATAAACCTACTCGTGTCTGTGGTTTTTTCCCCTATATATTTTACCTTTGAGGATCCATTTTACCCACTTCTTTGGAATCTTACTGTGGATTCTTTGAATTAGGAAGAAGTGAACTGTAATAACTTTATTTCCAGTAATTGGATCAGTTAGGGGGCATTTGGATGCCTTCTGTGGGCCCTTCTTTTTATAGTTCGTTCCAAGCCCATAGCAGCAGAGACACACATCCCAAGAGTGTGAATCTGCCGGAGCAAAACTCTCAAAACTACAGTTATAGGTAAGTAACCTTTTTGTCTTACCTTTTAAGTTCTTATCCAGCTCCTCTCCCTTTCTCCCCATTACCCATCTCCCCTCAAAGCTCCCCAAAGGGGAAACTAATAGAAGAACACTATTAAGAATTAAGAGTTTGTTTACATCTAATTTTGTGTAGCCAACTAATGAAATGACAGAATGTGTTACTATAACTAGTAGATTAGCATTAATTTCCAAAAATACATTATAGGGATTTTATTTCCTTAAAAATGGAGCTATAAGTATAGCCATTTGTATAGTAATTTTGCAGAAGATTACAATTACTGATACCAGAAGATTATATGAGACAGTGTGAAATATAAATGACTGTGTGTCTGTGTAGTAGGACAATGTGAGAATTAGGTATCTTTTGTGCATACAAGCTTTCATTAGGTCTGCGTTTTGTACTGTGGCATAACGGGTGAAACTGGGACATCATATGGCTTTCCCAAGAAAAAGCAACTTCGCATCCTCCAGTTCCTATTGATCAGAGATTTTTTGTGCATGTGTGTTCAGATATGTTTTAAGAAAAGGGAAAGACATTCCTCTTTTATCTAGAGAAATTGTAAAGAAGTGTTGCAATGTTTCCACCTATCTAGGAAAAATTACTTTCTTTTATATTTTTATAAAGAATGAAGTATTTATTGAATGAAAAACATGTTTTTTTAAAAAAATAGAGGCATATTTTTTATAATGGCCTCTATTTTGGTGCTCTCATGTAACATGAAATCCAATTCCCCTGTTTATCCCAGGTTGTGCTTTATGTAGGGGTGGCACAGAAACCTGCTCTTGTAGGCAGTTGTAGAAAATAACTAAATAACTAAAGCCTAGCATTTTTTGATAAGAAATCTATAGCATAAACTAAGATTAGAAAATTAAATATAACTTGCATGTAGAGTATGCCTTTGATTATATCTGTTAGATGAACGGGAAGATTTATAATACTACCTATCCAGTAATTATTTTCTTCTAGGACATTCACTTCTCTATAATGGATTTAAATCTTGATAAAGAAATGGCATGCATAATAAAACTTTATTAAGAGTTTAAGCCCAGCATTTTTATAGTTCCTAGTCACTAAGTTCACTCTAACATCAATCTAAGAAGACAGACTTTTTTACATTATCATGTGATATAAATGTTACTGGATCTAGTTAATTGAAGATAAAAAGTGCAAGATATGATGTGAGAATAAAATCAACGTATGGAAGGGAGATTTCAAAGTGATTGCTTATTTATAAAGTTTGCTGTTTATACAAATGAATTAGAAACTAATTGGATATGCTAGTCTGTGATACATTAAATAAGTAGTTTTCATGAAGTCTACTGTTAGTGTGTTGCATTTTTCTTGTGAAATTACCTGCTGCATTGGGTATTTCAAACATAATTGCACTTCATGGTTTGCTCAGATATTTTAACAATTGAGTTTACAAAACTGTAATTCTTCACAAAGCAATCACATGGATAAACCCCAGCATTTGTGTCAAAAAAATCTCACTCATAAATAAATTAAAATCATATTGTTTGTAAAAGCAATATTAAATTCAGGAAAGTTAAATTACAGCTTCCAATCTCTAAACAAGTGTAGGTGCTTGATTATACTTTTCTGTAGTTCAATTCTAGTTATTTTCTAGTGTAATATTAGTTTTGTATTATTTAGTTGCCAAGGAATAATGAGCTATCAGACATCCTTAGTAGAAAAATTCGTAATACCATATTTCATTCTTCACTTATGCTGATTACGTTATTGCTATATTTAAGAAAACAAGCAAGACTTTACCAAAATGAAGATTCTGAGTTCTGCTACACTGTAAGGCATGTCAGAGACTCCTGTGGTATTTCCATGTTTTGTCCTGAATTAGCTTGGACAGCTCTCATGATGGGCTTTCCTTTTTGCACAGTGACCAGAAGTTTGATGAAGTCTTTTAACGGGCTGCTAAAAATTAACAGCTGTTCTGTTCAGATTCTCATAAATTCCTTCCTCTGAACTGCAGCAGCTGCAAGGTCTCTACTTGAGAAACTTTGAAATTGCATTCTGTTCTATAAAGCTTCCTTTACCATATTCGTGACTGGACTTTATTAGTTTCTTCTGTAACGGAGCAAGCAGTGAGAATAAAATTTTTGGCCTGTGTTTGCTGAGTCTCTCCTTCAAGGGGAGGAGCTAGTACTGTGCGAATCTCTTCTACTGATGGCAAGAGTTCTCTTTGGTTATTCAGTTTTTTGTTTATTGGAATATAGCTTTGGTGGGAGGTCAGGTGAGAGCAACCTCTCATGATCAGTAATTCTGAATGTTCATTAAAGAGCAGAAAAATAAGAATGGATATTTGCCCTCACTCCATTGATAGGTCATCCATCAGTACCATTAAAGTAATTTTAAACCTTCCTTGTAGCCAGATTAGATTTATTTCTTTAGATTCTTGTGGTCTACAGAACCATGTTGGTTGGAGGGACATTCATTTTGACACACAAATATTTCAAAAAATGAAGGCCTCAACCTGTCTTCAGGAATACTGTTCCTAAGAGGACAGCTGAGAGACAACTGCTTGGAAATCCAGCTAATCTTTTTTTTTCCATTTCAAACTTGCAGTTCCTGTAATGTTTTGTTTCTTGCACCACAGTGACCCATTTAATTTGACAGAACATCTCTACTATTTTTTAGAATAAGGTTAATTTATAATCTTACTTTGAATACCGAGGTATTTTTGGTGAGCATGTTGCAATGTAAAGAGAACGTCCATGCAGATTTTCCAAGCCAAAAGGATGTATACATAAGAGAATAGCTTAGATCAGTCTGGCTCTGAACTGTCACGAATTTGTTCAAGGAATTGAACAAAACGTAGATATATTTTGGATGTATCTACATTCTTGCGACAGGGGAGGGGAGTGAATAACGTTTCTGAAAAGAAAAGAATCTGAAAACAACAAACTTGGATACCTGATCTCTTACATGGTCAGAAAGCTCTTCTGTGGCTTACTACGTGTTCCCTTTATTATGAAAACTGTTACACAGAGTGAAGCAAAAAGATCCTGATCACAATTTAATGGGCTCAAGAGCTTGTGAGCCTACATGTTCATAACTGTGGCAAACCTTGAATCTAGGTCACTGGGATTTGAAATAAAAACTTAGTCTGACATGTTGGCAAAATCCTAGATCCTGATAAGAAGAATTTCTGCTATCTATGGAATGAAATGGATGAAGTTTGGATACTGATGCCTTGAAGGATATGAAGTATATTTGAGTGGATATTGTAAAAGTTCCTAAGTTCATCTGTTCATCAAAACCCTAAGGGCTCTTGGAACTCATGCCTTAACAAAGTAGTTGTATGCAAACTTGCATATATTTGCTTGTAAAAGAGAAGATATGAAGTCATCTGTTTTCAGAGGTTTATTACTCTCTCCTCACCTCTCTGATTCCCCATTGATTATTCTTATATAGGTCAAAGTGAGTTCAAGATTTGATAAAGCCCTTGAAGTCCAAAGGTATATTTTGGCCTTCAGATTTCTGCAGCTATCATGGCAACTTAAAAGTTTTTGTGCTCATTCGGTGGAGTTTTTTCTTTATGCTTGATGAAGATAGTGGTACTTATGTACTCATCCTACCTTTTATGTCCTAGTTCAACCTGATATTTTCATATACTCGGGACAGTTTTTTTGTCCTAGATCCAGAAATCTCATAGAGGCAAAACAGTAATGATCAAGTCTAGTTCTGAGTATCGCCGTCAAGATGCACTGGAAATATGAAGAAATCTGTGAGTAATCTGTAACTCTGTCTGCAATCACCTTGCCATTTAGGAAGAGAAAACTTTGAAGGTGTCCCTTTCTTCTCAGATAAGATGTCAACAGGTTGTGGTTATAAAAACTTACTAAAACATCAGTATTGAGTTGTCAAGAGAAATGAAGAAGGTGAATAAGAAGAACTCTATATTTAGAGGGAATATGTATGCCAAGTTGTGATGGGATCATCTGTTTGTATGTCCTCAACTTACAATTGGATGATGAAGAGAAGCAGCATTTTGAGCCTGGTCAGTTACAGAAGTTCAAGCGAGAAAATTGGTCCTACTTGAATTGTTTTGGTTGTTTAATCTTGGAGCCTTCAGCATGAGGGCTCTGAAAGGTGAGTTTTGGTTGATCCAGCTACAGCTGTTTAGGGTACCACAGCTCCTGGCCGTCTGCCTTGCTCTTATAGTAGTGGTAGCAGAGGGAAACATTGTCTTGGCTCTTAATTGACTCATTCAGCCTGGTAGGTTAAAGCAAACCATCTTCACTAGTGCCTTAAGGGGATGCATTGGACAATGAAATGCACTTATGGAAATATGAATGCACACTCCCTTCTGCTACAGGTGGTAACATCAGCTAAAGGAATGAGGCAGATAACTGATAACAGTAATGTCTTAGAGGCTACTGTTAGATCTACCATGAGAGCTTTACTGGACTTTTTCAGTGTGGCTGACATTTCTGGGTTAAAATGAAAAAGCTGATTGACTTTCTCCTAAGAACGCAGGTTTCACAATTTGTATTTCAAAATTGAAGGAGTTTTAATTGAGAAATAAGGTAATGATATATGTGGGTATATGCGTATTAACGTATTTGTTTTGGGTTTTTTTAATAAAATTCGGAACCTGTTAATCTGGAACATTACTTATACTTCATGACCATTCCTAAGACCTGCCATGTAGCTCAGTGAAGTCAAAGCCCACTTAGTCACAGGGAGAAAAAGATTTTTTTATCACTGCATAGAGCTTTCAGAAAAATATATTTATTTTAATCAGTGATGTAGGGAAGTTGTTCTATATAAGTTTACATATTAATCGAACAGTTGCTGTAGTAGAGAAAAAGCAAACATCTCCATGCTAAAAAGCTGCACCTTTGATTTGGCAAATTTATTTTGCTTCACATATGTACCATAAAGTTGGCAGGTGTTCCTACAGATACTTGTTGAACTTTGAAAAGTTCCTTATTTGCAGTTGACCAGTTTCTGCATGGAGTTTATTGTATCTGTCTTTACTGTCTTCCAGCCATTAAAAGTTGTTCTTAATTTTGGAGTTTTAGGAAGTTAGAGGTGTACCAATAGATTTGAGAATTAACTTGATGGAAAAAAAAGCCTCTTCACATCACTGGAATTGGCCACATTACTACTTGTTTTTGTGTTCTAATGTTAATTTTGGAGATGATCCTTCAAAGTTTTAATTCTTCTAAATAAGAATCTTCTACAAATGTAGGATAAATTACAAGTCTATGTTATAATTCTGGGTTACAATTTGAGGGGGTAGTGGGTTTTTTCTCCTTGGAATTTATTTCCCTATTTCTTGGTTGCCTTAGTGCAGGTTGGGCTTTTGGTTTTCATAGCAAAAAATTAATTTTAGTGTAGAGTACCATGTTGGTAATATAGATAGGTTGTAGTTTAAATGAATAGAACATACTCTTTTGGATACTTCCATGTGCTTCTCATTTCTATGAATTCTACCAAATTACAGGGTGTGTGGTTGGATCACTTTATTTTTCTGTGTTCTACTCTTAATGATTTTTTAGTATAAACTGAAAGACTTATTGCAGAGTGAGGCTCTTTATACTACATAAAATTATTACTGAACTTTTTATTTCATCCATGAAAAGCGTTATGGTTGTGAAGGGAAAATACTCAAGCTTTTAAATGTGTAGTGGCCCCCCCACCTAATACTTATGTGTTATGGTATAGACTCCAACTCTTGGTATACTGCTTTGCTTCAAAGAGAAGCATGGAGTGTTGGAGTGTTTTTAATAATTTTTGTTGATTGTTTGTGTGTTCCTTGGCTAAAATGTGTGTGAAGTCCAACTGATGCACTGAACCAAGTAGGGAGAACCTCTGTCTGAATCATTGCAGATTCTTGCTTAGTTCATGTATAATGAAGCAGGCTGAATCTGCAGAAGAGAATCTTTTAATCTTTTATAGTAGCATTCCTCAAAAAGTGGTTGTGGAGATGCACCTTAACTTCGTCTTTGCAGACTTTTCCTTCAAGCGTAATTGATTAGTTTGGGTTTTTTAAAATGTTTCTTTTGGTCATTATGTATTGCAGCTGCTTTATTAGATGGTTCTCTTGGGGATTTTACAGGGACTTTGATTTCATATGTTCTGAGAGTGGCTTTTTTTTTCATGATTAATTGGCACCTATGGTAGACTGACAATGAATGATAGTCTGAATATATTAGCTAGAGAAGTTTTATTCTTGCTTTTAAATTCAATGGATTTTGTTGTGTGTGCACATACATGCTGAGGAGGATTAATTGGAGAGAGTAGAGGGGAATGGACATTCTTGCTTGGATGTTTACCAGTCTATATATATAATCTGTGATTTTTTTTTTCTTTTTTAACCTGCAGATAAGCCTCTGAAGAAGCGAAAACAAGAAAACAAACCACAGGAGGCCGGAGGTGCTACTGGAGGAAATAGAGCAGCTTCTCAGGAGACAGGTTCTGCAGGAAATGGGGCAAGGCCAGCGTTGATGGTTAGTATTGATCTGCAGCAAGCATTTTTTTTTCTCAGGCAACAGTAACTCAGGATTTGGACACCATCAAAAAAAATGAAGACATTAAGCAGTATAATGATGGATTTGTGTGTGTTCCCCAAGAAGACGCTATTGGAGTTCTTAAATTTAAACCTGAAAACCATCCTGAAATTTTTAGGAAAAAGCCAGACTTCGAGGGTCAAAAGATGGATATCCAGCAAAATGAAAACAGACAAATGGAATTTCAGCAAAATGAGAGCAGACAGTTAGAAAGTAGACATGAGAACAAACAGTTAGAAGCTAAACATGAAAGCAAGCATGAAAGCAGACAAGTGGAAGTGAAACAGAATGAGAACAGACAGACAGAATCAAAACAAAATGAGAGCAGGCAAATAGAGATGAAACAAAATGAGGGAAAACAAAATAATGGCAAACAGGAAATAAGGCAGAGGCCGGAAACGCCAAAACAGAAGAGTGAAGGCAGGCCTGAAACACCAAAACAGAAGAGTGAAGGCAGGCCTGAAACACCAAAACTGAAGAGTGAAGGCAGACCCGAAACGCCAAAACATAGACATGATAATAGGAGGGACTCCAGTAAACCATTGTCAGATAAGAAAATTGAAATATCAAGGCATAAACTAGATGTGAAATCAGATCCTTCGAGGGTAAAAGCTGAAAGTAGATCTGATCCAATAAAACAAAGGCCCGATGGGCGTTCAGTTTCTGATACACTGAGACGTGACCATGATAGCCTTAAACAAAGATCTGAAGACAGGGGGGAGCCAGAGAGATACAAAGGAGATCCTTCCAAGATTAGAAGGCCAGAGTATTTGAGATCCTCAAACAAAAATGAACGTGATTCTAAGCATGGTATTAAATCTGATGGTTCAAAACCGGAGAAATTTGAAAGGAAACATAGGCATGAGTCTGGTGAATCAAGGGAAAGGTTTTCTTCTGGGGATCAGAAATCAAGACCTGACAGCCCTCGTATTAAACAGGAAGGTAAAGGAGATTCTAGTAAATCAAGACCTGATAAACCTGCTTTTAAGTCACCCAACAGCAAGGATGAACGAAGGACAGATGGTAATAAGAGTAAAGTAGATAGTAATAAAGCACATGCTGACAATAAGGCAGAGTTTCCAAGTTATTTGTTGGGGGCAAGATCTGGTGCATTGAAACATTTTGTCATTCCAAAAATCAAGCGTGATAAAGATGGCAATGTTACTCAGGAGTCAAGGAAAACTGAATTTAGAGATGAACAGAAGGACAAAGTAGAGAAGATTGGGCTAGTTGAAGATCTAAATAAAGGAGCTAAGCCTGTAGTTGTCCTTCAAAAGCTTTCTTTGGATGATGTGCAGAAATTTATTAAGGATAGAGAAGATAAGTCAAGGGGCTCTTGTTTTAAACCTAACAAGAACAAGTCATCCAAATCTAATAAAGGTAAGATTTTTTTAATATCAGTTGCATTGTATCTTTCATACTCTGATCTTTTAGATTTGCTACTTCTGTGGTTAGAAATGGAACACAACTGTTTTATAGTTAGTTTATGTGCTTGCTTGTATGCTGATTTTGGGAAACAAAATGAAACTTGTCTACAGACTTGCTACGATGTACTTGAAATGATTTATTTACTCCAGTGCACATACCTAATGTGGACACACTGGAGTGATCTTACAGCTACATTAGTTTAACCTGGTAATTTATCCAGTGAAAGGTAACTGCTGCATGTAGGATTTAAACTGGTTTAAGTGTGTCTGTGTAAGGGACAGGTGCTTCTGTGACTAAATCACCGTAGCTGGAGTCATAGGAAATACTATGTATACAAGCCCTAAGATACTTTTATATTTTTAATTGGAACTGAAATGTGGTTTTTCAAGGCATGTTTTGACATGATGCAATAAGGATGCAGTTACAAAGTCCCATCTGCCTCTTTTACACTATAAATGCAACTCTGTTGGGGAACCTCCACACTTGAGGCTCTGTGACAGTAAGTTTAAAAAAAGGTTCTGTCTTTAAGACTAAATTCACATGTCATTGCAAAGTCCATTCTATGCAGAAAGAGGAAAGGAACTGGTAAACAATTGGATGGTATCTTCAGATTAGTAGTGTGGACAGGAAATAACTCAGAATGGTCCGTATACTTGGTATTTGGTTGATTGTCTCTTCTGGAGATTTGACAATTTTTTTATAAGATTGCTTTCCTTCTCGGTGCTCTAATTTTGACTTGTTTGGTTTCAGACTGAAGTAGGTAATTCCACATTGTGAAATTGATGTTACTGACTGTTCAGGATTCTTTTATTTTTTAATGTTAAGCATTTAAACCATTTAAATTTCTTACATGGTTATGTTTTAGAGTTGTCGTCTCAAAATAGACAAATCAAGTGGTGTGGGAGAGGATTTCAGCTGTATGCAGGATAGTTTATGAATGCAGTTCCAGGTATAACATGAAATCTAGATTATAATGTTTTATGATGTAGTGATCTGGTAAGAAATGATGTAGAAGTCATATTTCTGAATGTATAACTATGCTTATGTGTGTGTGTACAGAGGTGATACCTGTAGAATGAATTTATTGTGCTACATCGGTTCTATAGTTTTCTATCTACAAACCTTTTTTCTATTAACTGGTAAAGACTGAATAATTCAGGATGTGTATTACTTAGTTGTAAAATATTACCCTCTTTGCTAAATATTTTTTCTTTATCCTAGAAACATGAACATTTCCCCTGTCACGTTTTGAGGTTCAGAACAGGCAAAATTTCCATGTCTGATAATAGGTATTTAGAGTTAGACATAAAATTATGACGTCTTTGTTGTCAGTTTAGTCTAAAGATTTCAGATGAAACCTTTATGTTCTTCATAGGGAATACCGAGAACTTTCTATTGGGACTCAGCTCTAGTCTCAGAAGGATAGATTTTGAATTCACAAAATTCTTTGTGCAGAAAATCCATAATTTGCTTTCCAAAATGTTTCTGAAGTACTTTTTTTTTTTTTTTTTGTAGTCTGTATTGTATGTAGTTATTTATGTAGAATGTTTTAGTAAATGTGTAAAGGTCTTAATGACTCTTGTCTGATTGGCATGACTCTGGTAGCTGTGTCACACATGAGCAATGCATTAATTTTAAATCAGTTTTATAACTTTTCAGCAATGTTTTTGTATTCTTACATACTCTCAATAACTTGGGACACATTTTCCAGACAAGGAAAATGTTTACATCTGTTATCAGTCTTTTTTCTATTGTATTCAGAATAATGTTCTTACAATGGTGCTAGAAATAAGTTCCATGGAAAGAATAATGTTTTAACTGTTGCTCTTGCAAATCAAGTTTTGAGGGTTCAGGCAGGCAGATTTTGGAGAAAGTGTCTTTGAACTTCAGATTTTTAATAGTATTTTTAGTTTTACATTTTTTTTGCCTAACATCCTGGTAACTTACTTCCTAGGATATATTATGCTAAATAAGTAGGTGAACTCCAATGTTTGAAACGGTTTGTAAATTATAAAGGTATCTCTTCCTAAGCCAAAATCTGTTCATCAACACCTGACTGATACAGAAAATATCCATGCCATCACCACAGTGTCCTCATCAAATTGAGAGAAGATGTTCACTGTTTTACTCTGTGCCATTTTTAGTTGTAGACATTTTAATACACTAGGAAATATAATATTCATAAACTTTCTTTATTTAGTTAAACCTATATTTCTTGTAGCAAATTTTTCTTGTAGCAAACATTTTAGCAAATCTTCTCTAGTGTTGTCTTTTAGCATCGTTATTCCACTTCTTACATCTCTCTTATTCCACGTAGCATAGTATTTTACTTTATTTTACCTCCTTGTATTTCTTGTCCTTTGTTTTTGCTTTCTCATCCACCCCTCCCTCAAGAAAATGTCTTCTCCTGGCTTTGTCACATACATCATCATTGCTGTGATTTATCTGAAATTCAGTTCAAATTAGGATTAGTTCAGATAGTTCAAAGCAACATTTGGATAGTCATTCTGTCTTAGGGACTAATGTCCATTCATGATAGAACTCAGTGGAATTTACTTGTTTTAATCCAAATTAATGCTTTGCAAACTGAAAATCTATACAACTTTTTACATTGTTTAAGTAAATTTTAAGTTAGAAAATCATACCTTTATTGTGCATGTGGGTAACCCTTGAATCTTCCAGCAAAAAGACATAGTATTTTAATCAGACTTTATAGGCAGGTTTGAAATTTTGTGGAGTTATATGAATGAGAGGGATAACCATGGTACAGAACTGTTAATATTTAATCATCCCAATAATTGAATGCACAAAGAAGTGACTTTTTTCTCTCTCTCTCCTTCTGAAAGATTCACTCTAGCTCAGAGGAAAGCTATGGAAATTTTTTTCATAGTATTTTTGAGGTTTTATGGTGAAATTTTGTGGCCTGTTTTGTCTGTGTCAGAATGAATTGTAATGCTTTTTTTCTATTGGTTTTAATATCTATGAATGCCTTTTTATCCTGGTTTTAAAGCAAATGTGCGTTGTTGGGAGATCCATGAAATTTTTCCCTTTGCATTTGTGCCTGCAATGAGGGGGTCATGTTTGCTCTCCTTTGTTTTCAGAGCTTCTGCGAATACCTTCTCTGCTGCTTCTTAGATCTATACTGATCACCTATGTTGGGATGGGAGTTGTTAACGGTTTCACAGTTACTGCGTTCTGAACAAGACAAATTTTCCTTTGTTAAACAGATATGAGTAATAAGAGAAGCTGTAACTGTCTCTGGAAGGAGATGTCTGAGTTGGTTTATAATATGTTTGAAGGACTGGCTTTCCAAAATAAGCACCATACATGTAATACAAGTTCTGGGATGAACGAGCGTGTGTTTTTTTAAGACTCGTGCTGAAACGCCTCTTGAGTCTTCCAAGTGTTTGTTGTTTAAAAAAAAAAATCTGATCTGCATGCTACTTCTTCACTGTGTTCATTTAGTGATCTGTACAACACAGAACTTTAAACACAGGTTTTTGTTGCTCACTACAAGTCTTCCTGAATATACTGTGTTCTCTGCTGCTATGATCTGAAATTTGTGTGAAGATTTGCCATTTCTTCAAAGGTGTTCTGTATTCTTACAGCATCAACTAAAAAGCTACTGCTTAATATCTTCATGTCATGGAGTTGAAACAATGCATCTAGATTTTTCTGTGTTCTGTGCTTGTGTGGTTTGTTGGGGATTTTTTTTGTTTGGTTTGGTTTGGGTTTGGTTTTTTTTTTTTTACTTCCAGATGACTTTTTCATAGCCTATAGTGACTGTAGTTTGGTATTTGTGTAAATTGATGGTCCACCTTTGAGTTCTAGCACTGCTGGGAATAGTCTCACTTGTGAAAAAAATAATCAATTAGGTGCTCATCTTCTAGGTAGGAGTGACAAGAAAGGGAGTATTCCAGGGTGAAAAGCTGTGTCCAGGTTGTGTTGTCTCGGTGAGGCAACTTCTGATGCTTCTCATAGACTCCTAGTTAGCACAGCAGAGCTACTCACGAATGCTTTCTGGTACAGCTGAAAACTGTGGACAAAAAGAGAGTATCAATTTTAAATGTGTTTAAATCATTCATACATAGGACTTATATAAAGACAAAATTGGCAAACTTTTGAGAAAAATAGCTTATGAATGTTAACACATCAAACAGATTTTAGAGTTCACTCAAATTTATTTCCAAAATAACAATTGCTTGATGCTGAAATAGACACACTGTTGTACTCACTGAAATCAGTAGGGCAAGCAACTATGCTGCAAGAAAATTACTGGAGTGAAAACTTATTTCCTTTGGAAGCAAAAAGGCTGCAACTCATCTTGCTTACTACAGATTGTGCTTTTGTAAAGAGTGCCATTGTGAAGGTCTGTAATTCCACAAATCTGAAATTTGAAATCACCGTCTTGGAGTTCCTGGTAGCAACTGCATCTGCATGTGGGAAGGCCAGAGTAATAACCCACTACGCATCTTGCATGTGCATGCATCACCAGGTGGATCAAGCATGTCATGACTTTCTCAGAAAATTCTGCCACACTTCAAAGAAAAAAATGATATATTTCATGGTTTACAGCAAGATGTTTGTAATGATTCTTCTCAACTGGAATCTTTAAAGCTTCTCTTAAACTCTAAATTTAACTGGAATTTTAGAAAAAAAAGTCACTTTTATAAGACTTCTACAATTTTCCTGGGTTTTTTTCTTATTTTTTCTGAGATATTGGTGACTGCTTCTTTTCAACTTTACTAGAAGAGGAGCTGGCTATCCTTTGTCGCCTTAGAAGTATGTGAAGATATGTTGCGTTTGCAGAGGATCCATTTTAATATATACCTTGTCCATTTAGCCCTGATTTTTTTTTTCTCCTTTCTGGATTGAACAGGTTCACAGTGTGAAATATATTCCAGGTACTGTTTTGTCAAAAGCCAAAACCAAACTATATATAACCCATTAAA